CCTGACATCACAGGCACCTGGGGGAATGAATCAGTGCATGGGATCACTCTGTCTCTCTGCCTCTCAGACAATAAAGAAATTTGTAAAGATCCTCACGTGATATTAATGTGCTGCCAGAATTAACAATCACTGCAAGGGCCAGCAATGTGACATGGCAGGCTAAGCCGACTGTAATGTTGCCCCATACTGAGTCCCAGATGCACCGCTTCAGATCCAGCTTCCTGCAAATGTGCCATGGGAAAGCTGCAGATGGCCAAGTGCCTGGGTCCCTATCATCCATGTGAGAGACTCACATGGAGTTACAGGCTCCTAGCTTTGGCCTGGCCTAAACCCAGTCATTACAGTCATTTAGGGAATGAACTTGTGGATGGAAGATCTCTCTCTCTCTGCCACTCTGCTTTTTAAATAAGTAAATATATCTTTTTAAAAAATTACTGCATTCTAACACTCAAAATACAATTTAGTTACGTATACAGTGAGGATACATATGGAAATACACAGGTACAGAAACACAAGACTCAAGTCAAGACTTATATGGCTATTTCTTAAGAAACTAAAAATACGATCCAAAAATTCCACTATTGGGGAATAAAATCAGTCTACATTCCCATGTTTATAGCAGTACTATTCACAAAAACCAAGAAATGGAAAAACCCAAGTGTACATCAAATGACAAATGGATAAAGAAAATACAGTGCATGCACAAAATGGAATACTATTTAGCCATAAATCAGCAGAAATATCATCATTTGCAACATGGATGGTACTGGAAGTCACTGTGTTAAGCAAGACAAACCAGCCACAGAAAAACAAGTATCACACAATGTCACTTACATGTGGAATCTGAGCTGATTCCATAAAAGTTGAGTGTATAATTGTGGTTACTAGAAGCTAGGAAGAACAGGAGGAAGGGAGGATGAGCAAGGGTTAACTGATAGGTACTAAGCTACAGTTAAACGAGAGTAAAAAGTTCTGACATTCTGTTTTACACCAGGGCAACTATAGATATTGATAATGTACTGTATTAACAAATGAAAAAAGTAGAAGAAAGGATTTTGAATGTTTTCACAGTAAAGAAATGATAAGTTTTAAGTAGATATGTATAAACTGATATGGATAATACATATTGCATACATGTATTGAAATATAAGAAATCTCATCCTCAATAAGTTCTCCCAGTCAGTCCAATCATCTCTCCCTTTTAAATTTTGATTTATTTATTTATTTGAAAGGCAGAAGACAGAAACACAGACACACGCACACAGAGACAGAGAGAACAGATCTTAATCTGCTAGTTCATTCCTCAGATGACCACAACAGCCAGGACTGAGGCAGGCGGAAGCCAGGAGCCCAGAACTCAACCCGGGACTCCCACCAAGGTAGAAGGGACCCAAGGGCTTCAGCCATTACCTGCTGCCTCTCAAGGTAAACATGAGCAGGAAGGTGGATCAGAAACAGAGCTGGGACTTGAACCTAGGCACTCAGGGTTGCAGGTGTCCCTAGCAGCATCTTAACCACTGCACCAAACACTGGGCCCCAACTCTTCCCTCTAAACACACAATATTTCTAATGTAATTAGTTACATGCTGAATTAAAATGGCTTTTAAACTGTAAACTCAGCAGTAATGTTTTTTCACATAATTATGCCTTATGCTTCATCCTAGATTACAACCTTGTTCCTTATTCTTCTTGCTTTTTCCAGTGCTCAGGATAATGTGTTTAACTCAGATATGTGACAAACATGATCGGATAAACATACAAAAACTACTGGAAGAAAATATATCACATCCCAATTATGCAGTACAAGCTGTTACCAGAAAAGAAAAAATGCAAAAATTCAAAAAAATTATTTTTCCAAAAAATAAGCTCTTAGTAAATGAGAACTAAAGTTAATCTCATTAAACAACCTCTGGATTTGTGGACTATTAGAATCATCACACACAGTACCCATCTTTGGTTTCCCCTATCATCCAGTTTCAGTTATAATTTGCTTCCTTATTAAAACTACATTTGGGGGCCGGCACTGTGGTGTAGCGGGTAAAGCCACTGCCTGCAGTGCCAGCATCTCATATGGGTGCTGGTTGGAGTCCCGGCTGCCTCACTTGTGATCCACTCTCTACTATGGACTGGGAAAGCAGCAGAAGATGGCCCAAGTCCTTGGGCCCCTGCACCCACATGGGAGACCATGAAGAAGCTCCTGGCTCTGCACTGGTGCAGCTCCGGCCGTTGTGGCCGATTGGGGAGTAAACCAGCAGATGGAAGCCCTCTCTCTGCCTCTCCTTCTCTCTCTCTGTAACTCTGACTTTCAAATAAATAAATAAATCTTTAAAAAAAAAAAACAAAACTGTGACTGATTGGATATCTTCAGCTGCTTTCAAATACTTTTATGACAGTACATAATGCTCTTTGACTAATAAGTTAATGACACTCAAAACGAGTGTGTCATAGAGATGTTTAATGTTTACCAACCACTAAAACAGGCTCTGTACATAGCACCTGTATGTTAATCTATTAGTATAAAGTTGGCTGAGAACACTGTCTGAAGAGTCTTGCTTAACATTGGATAAAATACAAGTCTACTTTTGAGTATGGACAGTTTGGTGATTTTCATCCTTTTTTTTTTTAAGATTTATTTATGTATCTGAAAGGCAGAGTCGCAGAGAGAGAGAGAGAGAATCTTCCATTGCTGGTTCATTCCCTAAATGGCCTCAATTGCAGAAGTTGGGCCGGTCCAAAGCCAGGAGCCAGGAACTTCTGCCAAGCCTCCCACACAGGTGCAGGAGCCCAAGCACTTGTGCCTCCCGTGCTGCTTTCCTAGGCCATTAGCAGGGAACTGGATCTGAAGTGGAGCAGCCAAGACTTGTTCAGGCACCCATATGGGATGCCAGCACTATAAAAGGCAGCTTTACCCATTACGCCACAGCGCCAGCCCTGATTTTCATCCTTTTACAGTATTTTCATATATGAAAAATGTCTCAGATACAATGTAACTTTTTAAAATCTGGAGTACAAAGTTACATTACACAAGAAACTCCTCAGCAACTTGCCTTCTCCCTGTGGAAACTACTAAGAAAAACAACTGACAATTCTAAAGAGCAACCATCTAAAGAGAGGAAAATGGCCCATCTTTGGAGTTATACTTCACCACTATTAAATAATCTGAAAGATTTTACAAAAAAGTGAAAATGTGGGGCAGAGCACTCATGATGTATGTCTGTTCATTAGACACTGTAGCAAAACATTACCAGACAGAGTCACGGTTACCACTGAAAGTTCAAAATCCAGGACAAAAAATGGTACCCTGGGTTGTTTGTTTTCAAGGAAGGTTAAATTTAGGAATTGCCAACACCCAAACAAAAAACATTCCAGAGTATTAGACTCAATTGTCGTGGGGAGTCATCTACATTCTCAGCACTACATTCCCTTACTCAAAACCTAAGTATTAACAAAAGATGTTTCTTAGGATCTCACAAGATACACTCTACTTATTTCCCCCAGAAAACATTACTCTTTTTTTCTTAAATACTTGAAAAATTTTTAGCAGAAGCAGCCAGACAGAAAGTCAGTTTACCATCTGCCAAGATATTTCCCAAAATAAGACCCCTGTCAGATGAACAATGAAGAAAAGATTGAAAATGACAAATTCTTTTATTTAGACCATGAGCTATTTTTAAAATAAACTTGAGGAATGCAGCCTTTCCAAAGCCTTGCCTTCAAATTCCCCTTAATCTTCAACAACAACCCAAAAAAAAAAAAAAAAAAAAAAAAAAAACCCTGGAAATCTGATTACCACTTTCACGAATTCCTTTTAAAGCAATTTAATGAATAACATATTTTGCGCAAGTAGCAAACCACAAAGGACAGTTCTGCTGGCTGATAAAAATCTTTTCGAAACACTCATACAAAAATACACTCTGAAATGACACTCTAATTTTCCAGACATGGAAATCATATTAATACTTAAATATCTGTATATTTTTGATATATGCCAAACTGACTGCAAATACTTTTACTTAAACCACGAGATTAGTAAATTCATAATAGTTATTTACTGGATTGCAAAGTTGAGAAAATTAAAAGGTCGGGGGAGTAAAAGGGGAAAAAAACGTGGAATCTCAGGAGCCAACAAGAGAAAGATGCAGCTTACTTTGGGTCAAACAAGGTAGTTGAACCACTTCCCCCAAACCGGTGAGCTACTCTTTAAAGCAACCAAACCCTGCTTAGAATTGCTTAGTTTTGTTTCAGGCAGAGCGAAGTGTCACTAAGCAGGTATTTTTTATCACCCTAAGGAAAAGATGCTGCTACTTGCAAAAATGTCGTGAGACCACTCAGAACTACCCAAACAAAAACATAACAACAATCACAACAACAAAAAAGCCTACCACAAATGCCTTCCAGAAAAGAAGAGACAGTCTGGGCAAACAGCATCTCTATAGTCCTAAACATCACAGGGGGGAAAAAAAAAAAAAAAAAAAAAAAAGACGTACACTGGGGAACGCTACGTAGTAGAAAGTTGGTTAGAATATGAAATAGGACGTAGGTTCATTTGGATCTACTCGGCTTTGCGTCCAGGGCAAAATAAAGCTCTCTTGGCTAATGCTAAGGCCACACTTCCTTTACAGGTGCTTGTAAACACTGTTTAGACAGAAGAGATAAACTGATAAGTTGAGAAGGACACGTGGGAAACCAGAGGGTGTCGTCATCATCACGAATCAATTTTCCTAACTGGTGAGCAAAAACAGGTCCAGGTAGTAAAGGGGGGGCCCTGGGTCTGAGACCTTGGCCAGGAAGCCAGAAAAGCACGTGTCCTACTCTGGGTTTGGGAACTTCCCGGGAAGCGCTGGGTTCCCAGTAAAACTCCATCACCCTCTGGCTGCCTCACTCGGGAGAAAGCAGACGAAGTACGAGTCGCCACGGGAACACGCCGGCCCCGAGGCCCGGGAGGGAGACCTCGGAGGCGGCGGCCCGTCCAGGACCGGCCGCGGCCCCGCCCGGCTCACCTCCGCCGCCGGGATGTTGACCACGCCGGTGGAGCGCCGCTTCTCCCGCAGCTTCCTCTTCTCGATCTGCCCCTTGCCTTTCCTGGCACTGGGGCCCGAGCTCTTGCCCTTGTCCGGGGCGCCGTCCGGCTCCTCCTCGTCGCCCCGGGGCTGCGGAGCGCCCGCGGCGGCGGCGGCGGCGGCGGGAACCGCGGAGGGGCCGGGGGACTCCTCCTCCGCGCGCCGCGGGCCCGGGGCCGCCCGGCTCAGTCCTGCGGAGCCGACGGCGCAGTTCACGCCTCCCGGGCCGGGGGCGGCAGGTGCGGCCGAGCCGCCCGGGAGGTTGTTGTTGAGCTCGTTGGTCGCTGCGGCCGCCGAGGTGGCCAGAGCCCCCACTGGGGGCTTCCCGGCCGCGTCGCTGCTGCCCCCGCCCGGGACGGCCGGGCCCGGGGGGTTCTGCTTGGCGCGCATCTTCTCGCGCTTCGCCTTCCACTCCTCCAGGAAGTCTGTGGTGCTGCCGCCGAGGCCGCCGCTGGCCCGGTAGCCACCGGTCGCCATATTCCCAGAGGGGCCGGTCGGGCTAGCACCTCAGGCCGTCCACCCGTGCTCCTGCCGCCGCCGCCGCCGCCCCTTCCTTCTCGTGGCCAGGAGGACGCGAGCGAACGACCCCCACCCCGGGCGCGGGGTGACCGCGGCTCCTCCCGCAGCCCGCGAGTCTGAGGAGAAACACAAAGGGGGCGGAGAGGGGCAGCGTCAGGTCCCGGCCTGGCCGGAGGGTCTGCTAGTCGACCGCGCGGCGCGGAGCCCCCCAGAGCGTGCCCACCGGTGCCGCCGGCCAGTGGCTACCGCGTCCCCACCCTGCAAAGTTTCTCCGACGCACCTAGACCGCGGGCGGGACGATCACCGCCCCTCGCGGGGAGGAGAGAGGAGCTGACCCCACCCCCGGCCGGCCCGCCCCGCTCCATCCCCACAGAGTCCGCGTCTGCGGCGGTCTGGCGACCCCGGCCGGACCCTGCCACCTGTCGGCCCGACGGGTCGCAGGCTCCTCGCCCCGGCCCCCGCAGGTCCAGAATCCCCGCCACCTACGCCCCCCAAACTCTGTGCGAAGAACCGCACCCCGAGCCGGCTCGCGGAGGGGGGCGGGGACCCAGCTGTCCGGCCGAGCCCCAGGAGGGGATGGGGTGCGCGAGCCGAGCTGGGGCGGCCGGGGCAGCTCCTTACCTCGGAGGAGCTTCGGGCGAGGTGGCGCGGGGCTGGGAGCGGGTGTCCAGGTGAGCCGAAAGCGCCGAGCGCTCTCCGGACGCGTGCAGGGAGTCCCGGCACACTCGCAGTCCCAAGGCTGTGCGAGGCTCGCAGGGAGGGAGAGGCGGGGGGTGGGGGGAGCCGAGCGGCGCCGAAGCGCGGGCGGAAAGGGCCGAGGCAGCGCGGGGGGCGCGGCGCGCCGTGGAGCCGGGGGTAGGGCCCGCCGCCGCCACGCCCCCGGCGCTCAGGTGCGCGGCGCCGCGGCCCGCCCGCCGCGCGCCCTCATCCCTGCGCGCTCCGCGGCCGCCCGCGGGTCCGACGGCGCATTCCTGAAGCTGCCGGCTCGCGGTGGCCGGCCTCCCGGCGCCTCCGACTCCGGGCTGGGGACGGCTCTCCACGCCGGGCTCCTCCCTGCGCCTGCTCGCCGCTCCCATCTCCCGCCGCTCTCACTTTTCGGTACAGGACCAGATCATTCGAGGGAAAGCCTGAATGGCCGCTTGGCTGAGAAGGAAAGTGCCATCGACCTGGGAGGACTCAGGGCCTGACTGGACAGTTTGGGGAAAATCCCCATGCGTCCCTTTTGCTCGTCACTGCCCACTTTCAGATGTTCTGGGCTGGCGGGTACGGAAGCAAACCCAGCAACTCCTAAAAATCCTGGGTACACGGGGCTTACTGTCCCTGCATTATCAGTGTACTATTGTGTTAGGCTTGCAGGAGAAAAGCAAAACTTATTTCGAGTATTTATTGTGTGGGCGATCCCTATCTTATTCGGAATTTTCCTCTGACCCCTGTCTCGACATCTGCTCTTTCCAGAAAGTGAGTTCAGCCAGCAATACTCCCTACCAAAGTGCTAAAGCTGTGTTAATGCTGACTTGAGATGAGCTGGGCCGCTGATTCTCTTTGTCCATCCTTAACTGGCCGTAGGGTAACTTTTGCCCCGTGCTGAAAGTCATCTGTGATTTGTGTCGGCGTTTGGCTGGGCTGTCGCTGACAAGCAGCAGAGGAGGGAGCGTTGCAGGTTACAAATGCCAGGTCTCCATTTTGTAGGACAGCCTTGAGTCACATTCTTACCTAACGTGAAGGCTGTCTTCCTGCTTAGCATTCCCGTTTAGCACAGGTGGCACATGGTGGGTGGGCAGGCAGTGTGAGCCTGTCACAGGAATGGGAACAGAAGAAAGTGACTCACACACTGTCTATTTTGCAGAAGGAAAGTCGCATAGTTCTGGTCTTTGATCTCTTGAGGTAAGCAGATGCGTAACTGCAGAAAGATCTGGAAAAATCTTTGGGAAAACAAAGGCCTGTCTTGAGAAAAGGTTTAAAAGGCGAAGTAGCCGTTTGCCTAAGTGATACCAACATGGGTGTGCCACCTGAAATTTCTCAATTATGCATTCGTTATTTTGATTTCTGAGTTTAAGGGGGAGGAGGATTGGAAGATTGGGCATTAAACATACTCGCATTAACATGCTTTGTAATTTATCAGAGGATTTTCTCTTGGAGGGACCACAAGATACAGTGGGAAAACGATATACTGTAGTAAGCCTGGATGCAAACATGTTAAGTAGCTGAGCCATCCTGAGGATACTGTTTTAAAAATCTGAACTTCCAGTTTTCTTTACTACAAAATCAGCACTAATAGCACATGGTTTTAGAATTGAAAATGGAACCTGCATTGTGTTGCAGCAGGTTAAGCCACCACCTGCCATGCCAGCATCCAGAGTGAGCTCCGAGTAATGTCCTGGCTGCTCTACTTTGATCCAGCTCCCTGCTAATGCACCTGAGAAAGCAGCAGATGTCCCAGGCACTCCGGCCCCTTCCACTCATGTGAGGGACCAGGATGGAGTTCTTAGCTTCTGACTTTAGGCCTGGCCCAGCCCCAATAGTCACCACCGTGTGGAGAGTAAACCAGCTGAAGGAAGATCTCTTTATCTCTCTTTTTCTCTTTCTCTTTCTCTCCTCCCTGTAACTCTGCCTTTCAAACAAATAATATAAATTTAAAAAGAACTGACACTGCATGTAAAATTTTATTGCTTCAAGAAATAGTAAACAGTCCTGTTGTTAGCAGGCTATCAATTAGTTTAGAATCCTGGATCTTTAAGAAGTGGATTGGGGCCAGCACTGTGGCATAGTAGGTTAAGCCTACTATTATTATGTTATTATGTTATGCCATGCCAGCATCTCATATGGGCACCAGTTCAAGTCCCGGCTGCTCCTCTTCCAATCCTGCTCTCTGCTACGGCCTGGGAAAGCAGTGGAAGATGGCCCAAGTGCTTGGGATCTTCCACCCATTCGAGAGATCAGAAAGAAGTTCTTAGCTTCTGGCTTCATATTAGCCTGTCTCCGGGCCATCTGGGGAGTGAACCAGTGGATGGGAGACCTTTCTCTGTCCCTCCTTCTCTCTGCTTGTAACTCTGCCTCTCAAATAAATGAATAAAATCTTTAAAAAAAAAAAAAGTGGGTTGGTAGAGGAGGCAAAGAATGACAAGATACTGAACATACACTATTCACCTGAAGAGGATAGATTTGGTATGAACTAGGATAACACTTACGCCACATATTTTGACACTGCATCTCTTAGATCAGTTCTCTTAGTATTAATAGATTCTGAGTCAGAAATTTTGGCTACTATTGACTTGTGTGACTTTGGGCAACTTGCTTAACTGTTGGGCCTCTGTTTACTTACTTATAAAATGGGGGTAATAATACTTCCTACATTGTGAGGGTGTTGTGAAAGAGCCTGAGATTCTTAGATAAAAGGTAGTATATGAGTACCAGAGTAGTTATTATTAGTCTATAAAGAGCCCTAGGAGCCATAGATGAAAGAAATTATTGAGGTACAATGTGCTGTGTTTTATTATTGTTATCACTTGTTGTACCTTTTGCCTACCTTTTTCAATATTCCCAAATATATATTTCTTAGCCCCAAAATTATACCACAATATTTGGCTGAGTCAGTCCTGAATTGCAAGATGTTTGCATATCATCAATCTTTATGTATAGAGTTCTGATGAAATAATCCTTAAAGGATTACAGCTTGGTTTCTCAACCTCAGCACTGTTGACATTTGGGGCTGGAAAATTCTTTGTTTTAGGGGTTGTCCTGTTCACTATAGGATAATTATCAGTATCCTTGGCTTGTATCTACTATATACCACCAGTACCTCCCCACCACCATTGCAACATTACCTAAAATAATTTTAATGATCTATTTGACTTAATAATAAGGGAAATATGATAATGCTAACAAAACAAAGATTCATTTCAGTGTGTCAGAGTGAAACATGTTCTAAGTGTCAAGTCTTACCTAATGTTTTCTAGACAGTGGATTAACTATGATGTGAAATATCTGTGTCGAAAGAATTAATAATATATTGGGAAATAGCCATTTTGCCTTTCAATGTAAATATTTCTGGCACATATGCAATTCATCTTCCGAAATTGAAATAATACATATACATAGTACAAAAAAGTGAAACGTTTTTGTTCTATGCTGATTATAATAAAAGACGACAGCCCTCTACACACCTTCCCAAATCCCAAAACCCTACCCAGATTGAACTCCTTGACTGTTTCTGCTAATGCAGAGCTTCATGTTTACTTTTTCTAATTTATTTTCATTTTATTTGAAAGGCAGAGCTACAGAGAGAGAGAGAAACCAAGACAGAAAGACAGATGACTTCCAGCTGCTGGTTCACTCCCCAAGTGCCAGTCACAGCCAAAGCCCAAAGCCCAGAACTCTGTCCGGATCTCCCATGTGGATACCAGGGACCAGGAATTAGAGCCATCATCTACTGCCTCTCAGGGTGTACATTAGCAGGAAGCTGGATCAGAAGCTCGCTCGCTCTCTGAAACTCCTATTAAGTAGGTGTTCAATTACTACGAGTTCTCTATTAAACTTATCTTTTCTCTCCTATTTCTCATCTTTTTTGGCATACATTTTAAGTGAAATGTCCTCTACTTTATATGCCAGACATTCTATTCAATTTCCTGTTTCCTGCCACTGATTTTTTTCCCTAAGGTCTCTTTGTGGTTCTCTAAATGTTTCTTTTCCACATCATCCTGTTCTTATGTCATATATTTAGCATCATTTTTTTTTAGTCGTCTTGTTTAATGTTAGAGCATTTCTTCATCAGCCTGCTCTCCATTCATATTGTAAAAACTGAAAGACAGATTGGAAGCTCTGCTGTAAAGGGCAGAGCCTATTGACTAATCGACCTCATTTAGAAAGCTGGCTTTGGACCTAGACATTTTGTGGAGGCATATGTCAAGTGTCAGCATGTATAGCCTCTCTTTTGGCCCTGGTAAGTTTCCCTGGGAAAAGACTGTTCCCGCCAATGTTGCCAACTGTTTTCAGGTGCCAAGCAGGCAAAGGGGACTGAGAGATCAGTCTCATTACCCAACATGCAGGTTTCCACTCAGTCCCCGTGCTCAGGGTGCCTTGCATACTCTCTGCAGTGCATCTGTGACTCAACAACCACAGAATCTAACTCTACCAGGATCAGCGAAGACAGTCCCACCACTGTTCCCTGCAGGGGGAACTTAGAACCTAACTGATTCTTACGTTGATTTTCAACTAATTCTTTTGTTTTCATCCCATCGGGTGCTCTTTTTCAGAGGTATATGCTGCAGCTTCCATTTTTTTAAACCTTTCTTCAGGAGCCTGTAGAGTAGAAAGGATGACTTTTGATTGGCTTTCTCCTCTTCAGGTCCTTAGAATTCACCTTTTCTGCTTAACCTAACTGCTTTTCAACTTTCATCTTCTAAAATTGTGGGTTTTTTAAAAAAATTATTTATTTGAAAGGCAGAGTTACAGAGAGAGAGAGAGAGATTCCATCTGCTGGTTAACTCCCCAAATAGCCACAACAGCTGGGGCTAGACCATGCTGAAGTCAGGAGCCAGAAGCTTCTTCCAGGTCTCCTAACATAGGTGCAGGGGCCCAAGCACTTGAGCCATCTTCCACTGCTTTCCCGGGCATATTAGTAGGGAGCTGGATCAGAAGGGGAGCAGCTGGGACACAAACCAGCGCTCATATGGGATGCCAGAGTCACAGGTGAGGTTTAACCAGTCAAGCCACAACACTGACCTCCCCTGTGTCCTCCTCTCCCATCCTATTTAATGTTACTAGC